GAAAAAGTGGAAGTGGCACTGTGACTCACATGGTAGAGAGACAGCCTTGAGCGAAAATGTCAAGCAAGAAAGCAAGGCCCTGAGTTCAAACCTGATGGATAATTGTTTCCCTGTCTGCCCATGGTGGTTAAAAGGTACTTTTCACAAATTACCAACATGACTGAATGACACTCCCCTCACCTTTAACTGGGTTAAACAGCTCCTACCCTTGCCAGAGCTTAAAAGGACTAATTTCCTTGACTAATGGGTGTAAATGAAGGTCTTGCCAAAAAATGGCATCAAACACTTGTAATTTTCCAAGTGCAGACCTGCACACACCTATTTTCATTGTTAAAAAGCAAGAGAGACTTACATACCACAGGGTCAATTTCCACTAGATGGCAACAGCTGAAATCTTCAAAATGTCTAGGAGAAAGAAAGATTTATACACTATGACATCTAACATAAGATGAAAGAACTTCATAGACTCTCCAAATTAACCAGTCCAAAGTAGGGATGGAGGGGTGGCTCAGAGGTAGATTCCAGCCTAGCAAGCATGAGGCCCTGAGGACCAAGCCAGAACACAAGAAATGTAGAGTGTCGGCTGATGAACACTCTGATTTTAATCTAATCTGCTTTTGGCCCAGTTTGTTAGGGTAGCTGGCGTTGCTCCTTGGCACAGGAGGTCTGGCTGGGGAAGACGGTTGTTTAAATTGGAGAAGAGACGTGTCCGGTAAACTCCTCTTGTCTCTGAGGGGCTTTCACTTGTTTATTCATTTCCCCCTCAAAATGTTGTGTCCTGTGCATTCTGAGTCAATGCTAGCACTCTTGGAAAGGGAGAAATGGTATCACCAGCCTGAGCCAAGCACATTTGACTTGGTAGCCAGGCTGCTGTGATCCTGAACAAAACCAGTTTTCCAACAGGGAAACGACATAAGTGACAGCTTCCCATGTCTACATGCAAACGTGACTTGTGCTCCTGTGGCACAGTGGCTCTTTGGCCCAAATCAGGATCTTACCTCAATGTGCGTTCCTTAAGAAATGTGGGCGTTGGGCTGGGAAGGTGGCTCAGTGGTAGAGCGCTTGCCTTGCATGCTCGAAGCACTGGGTTCGATTCCTCAGCACCACATAAGCAAAAAGAAAAAAGCTGGAAGTGGCGCTGTGGCTCAAGTGGTAGAGCGCTAGCCTTGAGCTGAAGAGCTGAGGGACAGTGCCCAGGCCCAGAGTTCAGACCCTATGACTGGACCCCCAAAAAAAAATGTGGGCGTGCCAGGTACCACTGTCTCACACCTGTACTCTGAGCTGTTCATTTGGCTGCGATCTGAGGCTCACAGTGGGAATGTGGATCAAGTGGTAGAGCTGCCAGCATTGGGCAAAACACCATGCAAGAGCTTGAAGTCCTGAGTTCAAGCCCAGTAACAGCACCAAGGAAGAAGGAGGAAGATGAGGACGAGGACAAGGAGGAGGAGGAGGAAAAGGAAGAAGAGGAGGAGGGAGAAGGGAAAGAAAAAGAGAAAGAGAAAAAGAGGAGGAGCTAATAATATGGGAACAATAAATGAGCCACTGAGATAGAGCTCTTTCTAAATTCCCCCTGTCTCAAGTTGGCCCTTACTTTCTGTCTCACTTTAATACAGTTCAGCTTGTAGATCTAGTTGAAGTCCTAAGAAGTGGGCTGTGACATTTGATTCCATGATTGCAGCAAAACGCAAAACTTTATCTTCCCCGGTCCAGAGCAATTTTTAAATCTAGATGGACCAAAAAGGCTCTCACAGTAGTGTTTATCTTGACTGTTTCTGTGCCATTTTAAAGCTTCAGTGACCTTAAAAATGAGAGGTTAGTTGGGCCCTGTGCTTACGCCTATAATCCTAGCTACTAGTGAGGCTGAGATCTGAGGATCATGGTTTGAAATCAGCCTGAGCAGGAAAGTCTGTGAGACTCTTACCTCCAATTAATCAGCAAAAAAGCCAGGAGTGGAGCTGTGCTCAAGTGGTAGAGCACCAGTCTTGAGGGGAAAGCTAAGAGACAGCATCTACACCCTGAGTTCAAACCCCAGTACTTGAGCCAAAAATAAATAAATGAGAAGTTTACCTAGTCACTGAAAGGTAAGAGTAAGACTATTCTGAGAGCATGTGAAGGCAGAGCCTCCTGGGGTGCCCTGGAATGGGCTCCCATCAGCCCAGCTGTGTCTGAGTTCTCTCTCCATCCCCATAGTCCCTCACTGCTGCTCTCTCAGCTCGAGTCCTGGATGATCACAGCATTAGCTTCAAAGGCATGGAAAATAGACACAGAGGGCCCAATACCAGCACATGTTTTTCTCCAGCCAGAACTGGAGACTTGATCCTTGTTTATAGTCAGGTATTTACAGTAGGTCCTCGGGAATGCTAGAGTTTTCTGGTGGGGGCTGCTACAGAAGTAACTAATAGTGAGACATAATAGATTGCATATGCGGAGGGTCACAGCTGGGAAGAGGGAGGTGTCAGTTCAAAGCCCCAGTCTTGGGGCTGGGAAGGTGGCTCAGTGGTAGAGTGCTTGCCTTACATGCCTGAGGCCCTGGGTTCGATTCCTCAGCACCACATAAGCAAAAAGAAAAAAGCCGGGAGTGGCACTGTGGCTCAAGTGGTAGAGCACTAGCCTTGAGCTGAAGAGCTGAGGGACAGCACCTAGGCCCAGAGTTGAGGCCCCACGACTGGACGAAAAAAAAAAAAGCCCCAGTCTTTTGCTATCCAGAAGTTCCATCAAGGAGAGAAGGTAAGGTGGAGTGGGCGTAAGTCAAGGTTGAGTGGGTATAAGTCAAGTTCAAGTGGGCTGGCAGGCAGCCCAGGGCAAATGAATTAAATCTATGTAAACATCACACAGAATTACTGCTCCAAAAGCCCAGTTATTTCCACAATTCTTCCTCTCCCTTGACAATGCCTGTCTGGTCTTACAAGTATTCTTAGCATCTAAGTTGGAGATTGGAGGATGAGACCAGTTCCCACTCAACTGGTACAGTCAATGCATCATTTTTTCTTGGATAGCATCACTAAACACAAAAGCTTTTGAGGATGGGAAGTTCATGCTGTTTTTTTGTGTATGTGCTGTTCCTGGGGTTTGACCTCAAGGCCTAGGCACTCTCCCTGGCCCTGGGCCTTGTTTTTTGCTCAACTAGTGCTATACCACTTGAGCTACAACTCCACTTTTTTTTTTTTCTTTTTTGGTGGTTAATTGGAGATAAGAGTCTCACAGACTTTCCTCTCCAGGCTGGCTTTGAACTGAGATCCTCAGATCTCAGCCTGAGTAGTTAGGATTACAGGCATGAGCCACCAGTACCTGACTCTAGATATTTCAGGTTTTGAGTTACCTGCTTATCTACTCACTTTTGTTCACAAGGAACTATTTGTGAGTCTCTGCTTGGACCAGTCCCATGTGCAGTTATTTCAAAGAGCATGAACTAAGCAGGACACCAGTGTTCATGTCTATAATTCTAGCAACTCAGGAGGCTGAGATCTGAGGATTTCAGTTCAAAATCAATCTTGGTAGGAAAGTCTTATCTCCAGTTAACCAAAGAATAGAGAAATGAACTTCTAAAATATAAATAAAACTCCCTAATAGGAATTACAAAGTAAATATTGTTGGGTTTTGTTTGTTTTTTTTGTGCCCATCTTGGGCCTAGAGTTTGTGGCCTGGGTGCTGTCCCTAAGCTTTTGTGCTCAAGTCTAGCATTCTACTGCTTGAGCCACAACTCCATTTCTGGATTTCTTCTGGTTAATTGGAGACAAAAGTCTTAACAGATTTTTCTGCCCAGGCTGCACTTGAACTTTGATCCTTGGATCTCAGCTTCCTGAGTAGCTAGGATTACATATGTGAGCCACTGGTGGCCAGCTTGAATGAATTTTTATAGTGGGTTTTTATTACCAGAATACATTAGAATATCCTTTAGTACTTGTTTTTGTGCTAAGAAGCCCTCGTTGCAGTCCTAAGGTGTACCACTGCCATTCCTGTCCTTTGTGGCAAGGTGGGTTGTGTGGGTATGTGTTGTTGGTTTCTGGAGGTGTTTGCTGTTAGAGGATATGATTTATGTCTCCCTGGTTCTGCGTGCCTGATTGACCCAGCTGTTTTGTGCCCAGGCAGTCCTGTCTTCCTGAATGACAAAGACTCTGAAAGCAGCTAGAGTGAGAAGCAGGGGTGCCATGAGGTGCACGCACAATGTCAAGCTGTGGTCAGGGACTGTGCTGTGCCAGTGCCAGATGCTTGCAGTCACAGATGTGTGTCAGGAATATGTGTGGGCACATGACATGACAGCTGATCCATTACCAGTGGCTGCAGAGGTGATGACCTTGGCATCTCCAAAGAATTTCGAATGAACACACACACGTAAAAATGTAAAATGGCAAAGCAAAGAGTTTAGCTGAGAGACAAACAGAGACAGAGAGAATGTACGCCATTAAGGGAAATGACAGGCTCATGTTAAGTGGCTTGAAAACAAACACATGGTTAAAACTTTCAGTTTTCTAAGGTTTGAGGAGTATGAGAGGCGTTCATGCTTGTGATAGTGGGCTGATCTTAGGGAGATGAGAGTTGTGACTTGGCAGAGTTTGGAAAGGGATCTGCGCATGTACTAGGTTGCCATGCCTTAATGTTAAGTATGTGTGAGATGCAGTGCATATCCATGAAACCTAAGGTAGAAATTTGTTGGGCAAAGGTCGGGGTAAGGACTCAAAAGGTTAGAGCCGGCCTGGAATTCCTTCTAGGGAGAAGCTCTAAGCATACCTGACCATTAATTACTCATAGCAGGAGTGGCTGTGGGAGGAGTAGGAAGGAGTACTTGTGGGTGCTTTTCAGGGCAAGAGTAGGAGAGGGGATTGGTTTTTGTACTCTTTCTCTACCTAACGTGCCTCCATTCTAGCCTGGAGCCTTCCATGTTCAACTTGACCCTCATCCAAATGTGTGCCCACTTGTTCCTCTTCCTGGGATACAAGAGCTGGGACCTGCTGGTGACTGTGGATCTAAACAAGTTCCTTTGTCCTCCCTGTGTGTTTCAGAGGCTGGAGCATAAAGAGGTGCTGGTGGGCCTGCTCTTCCTGGCGTTCCCGTTCCTCCCAGCCAGCAATCTCTTCTTCAGGGTGGGGTTTGTTGTCGCTGAGAGAGTCCTGTACATGCCTAGGTAATTGTCCTACTTCTGCCCCCAACACTGGCATCTCCAGAGACAGTCCTTGCATGATGACATCTGAATTGGAGGCGGGGGTGAGGGATGGAGTTTAGCTTCAAGTGATTTCAATAACAGCTTTGTCCAATAAATTTTTATGTGCCAGTACTGGAGCTGGCACTCTACCACTTGAGCCACATTGGAAATAAGAATCTCATGGACTTTCCGGCCTGGGCTCACTTTAAACTGTGATCCTCAGAGTTCAACCTCCTGAATAGCTAGTATTACGAATGTGAGCCATTGTGCCTGTCCAAATATATTGTTAAGCCATAAGAATTTTTTCATGAAGTTACTATGTTTAGTGTCTTTTTCCCCCTGAGTTTTTCCCCCCTGTTTAAGACCTCAAAAACTTTTGTCCATGTGGGGAAAACTGATTTTAAAATTACAAAGGAACCTCAGTGGCTCATGATTGTAATCCTAGCTACTCAGGAGGCCCCAATGTGAGGATCATAGTTTAAAGCCAGTCTAAGCAGACACAACTAAGAAACTCTAATCTCCGGTTAATCTCCCAAGAGCCAGAAGTAGAGATATGGCTCAAGTAGTGGAGTGCTAGCCGTGAGTGAAAAAGCCAAGCAAGAGCACCAGATCCTGGGTTCAGGCCCCAGTACCAGCACAAAATCAATCAATACAAAAAAATAACTGGCAAATATGTTAATGTAGCACTTAAAGCACTAACATAGAAAGGTCATCTAAGACAAGCTGTTCCTGTGGCCTGGGTGAGCATTCTTTGATAGCTATGCAGTTAGGCCAAGTTGGGGAATCAGCCCACTTAGTAAACCCTGTGCCTGTGCCTTAATTTTCAGCATGGGCTACTGCATCCTGTTTGTGCATGGACTGAGCAAACTCTACACATGGCTGAACCGATGTGGAGCCACCTTGGTTGTGTCCACAGTGCTGCTGCTGTTGCTGCTCTTCTCTTGGAAAACCGTGAAGCAGAATGAAATTTGGCTGTCCAGAGAATCTCTCTTCAGGTATGAATAGAAAGACAATAGTTCTTCCCACCGAGCTCTTGGTTTAAAAATGGTTACCAAACCAGGCACTGGTGGCTCATGCCTGTCATCCTAGCTACTTAGAAGGCTGAGGATTGCAGTTCAAAGCCAGTTGGGCAGGCAAGTCTGGAAAACTTATCTCTAGTTAACCAACAAAAAGGCAGTTGGTCAAGTGGTAGAGGGGAATCCTTGAGCACAAAGCTCAGGAAAAGCACCCAGGCCTTGAGTTCAAGCCCCAAGACTGGCACCAAAAATAAATAAATAAAAATAAATAAATAACATAGATTCCAAACCATGGGTCTAGTAGTAGTTTTGATCTATAAAATTGCATTTAAAGCTGGATACCAGTGGCTTATGCCTGTAATCCTAGCTATTTAGGAGGCTGAGCTCTAAGGTTCTTGATTTAAAGCCAGTCCTGTCAGGAAAGTACATGAGACTCTTATTGCCAATAAAAAATGAAAAAACCAGAAGTTGAACTGTTACTCGAGTGATGAAGCACTAGTCTTGAGCAAAAGAATCTCAGGGACAGTACCCAGGCCCTGAGTTCAAGCCCTGGTACTGGCTCAAAATGCAGAAAAGTTTTAACTTTAGTTGCTCTTTTTTCCTCCCCCCTATTTGTGTGGGGGGGGGTGGGGGAGGGGAGGGTGTGCACGCGTGCGTGTGCAAGCACACTTACATGCTAATATTGAGGTTTGAACTTCAGACCTGGGCACTATCCCTTGCTTTTTCACTGAAGGCTGGTGCTCTACCATTTGAGCCACAGTTCCAATTCAAGCTTTTCTTTTTTACTGGAGATAAGAATCTTAGGTCAGTTCTTGCCTGGGCTGGCTTTGAACTGTGATCCTCAGATCTCAGCATCCTGAGTAGCTAGGATTATGTGTATAAGCCACCAGGGCTTGGCTAATTTTAGATTTTCAAAATGATAGTCTGTGTTTCAAGTGAATGTATGAAAATAAGACTCCTGGGAAGGCATTGAGTCTGTGAATTCAGGTGGAAACAGCCTGCTGATGAGCCAGGCTGTAAAGTCAGCTATAAACAAAATGAAACTGATAAGCCTAATTTCATTGTTTAGTCACGCGAGTGGCAAAGGCAAGAACCCAGCGAGGAGGAAGAGAAATGCAATGCATCTGCATAGACTATTTCAGTGTGTTAAGCAGTGATTGATGATCTGATAGCTTTTATTTTGAACACTAGTTTTGAATGAGAAAATGAAAGACTTTTTCATCTCCTGGCAGGTGTGTATGTGTGCGCACGCATATACACCCACACCCCCCCACACACACACACCACACACACATTGAGCATGCATGCCTGTATGCATAGATGATGGAGCTTTGTCACTAACCATGTCACTAGTGGGGAGTTGGCTCAGACTCATGAGTCCCTGGCTTCCAGTTTTCAGCTACCTGAAGTAACCATATGGGATCTCAAGTGCACACTTGAATATGTTTTCGATAACCATGAAATGAAAGATGGCATCTGAGAATTCTCCAAGTATTTTGACCAGATGTAGGGGTGGGGAGAGGGTTATATAATAAACATTTTTAGTCGGTTTTTATTTAATGGAATGTAAAGCTTTTTACGTACAAACAAATGGGACATCTGTCAAAAAGATGATGGATTATAAATGTTCTTTTTGTGTGTTGTGTACTAGTCCTGAGGCTTAAACTCAGGACTTGGGTGCTGTCCCTGAACTTTTTTTTTTTCTTTTTTTAAATCAAGGCTAGCACTCTATGGCTCAAGCTCCACTTCTAGCTTTTTGGTGGTTAGTTGGAAATAAGAGTCTCATGGACTTTCCTGTCCGGCTGTCTTTGAACCTCAATCCTCAGCCCTTTGCCTCCTGAGTAGCTAGGGATTACAGGCATGAGCCACCAACCATGCTGGTGATGTAGCTGACACTAGCCATGAAAACATAAAAACAAAGACATACTGATGTCCTCCGGAAGCTTCAGGTTTATCGTATGAGCATTGTGCAAGGAATAACGTTGAAATCAGTCAGGCAAACATTCACCAGTTACCTGTGAGGCACAGCACCTGGGGCTTGGGTGTGAGGTATGGAGTGGGCTTTGTGACTCTGCTCAATCGTTGGATAACTGTGTGGTCTTGGATAGGTTGCCCTCATTTGTACATTTCAAAAGTTAGAATAGTCATGTGTCTCTCCAGAATAAAGTGCAAGGATGCAGTTGTTTGTGAAGATGCATAAGGTATTATCTATCCAGCGGTAAATGCCATATGTAAAGTGTCCAGTTCATTGCCATGCTCTGTGTTCTAGGGTAAGAGAGAAGCATGGATGGGAGTCAGGCATGTGTGAGTCAGGCACATGAACACAAGCAAGATGCACAACACTATGTAAGTGTAAAAGATGACTAAGACCTATCATTCTATTGCTAATCTGAGATGAGTATTAAAAGATGAGAAAAGTTGAGCATAGCAAGTACACCTGTAATCCCAGCCATTCAACAGGTAAGGTGGAGGTAGTAATATCATAAGTTCAAGGCCAATTTATAAGTAAAGTTGGTGCAACCCATCTCAAACAACAAAAGGAAAGCAGAAGTTCTGGGCTTGTGGTTCAGATGGTAGAGCACTTGCCTAAGCATGTGGGAATCCCTGAGTTTAATCCCCAGTACTGCAAAAATAAGAGCAGGGGAAGAAAGGAGGGTGAGTGTTCAAATATCAAAAAAGCCACAGTGGCAAAACAAAGAGCTGACTGAGCTAAGGAAGGAAAATATTTGCAAAAGTTTCACAGGTGAAATTCAGTTGGCACCCTGGGTACCAGGGGCCTCTGGTAAACTCATTCCCAAGACATGCGGCCCAGCTTAGACCTGACTAACTATGTGAGACAGTTTTGGCTTAGAATGCTGTGAGGTTCCTTGTTGAGTGTCTGAAGACAGACCTTTATGTTCGAGAGAATACCAGTGCCGGCCAGACTCCAGAACTTCCAGTCAAGCCCATTTCTAATACGAGACGCTGCCCCTAGCTATGTGTTTGTAGGTCCGCAGGCAGCCGTTCCCAGCTTTGCCTTACACATGTGGCTCCTTAGAGCCAGGAGACAGGCTGAGTTTGTCCAAGTCAAGCGGAAGCTTCAGGGTTTGACCCTAAATGTGGTCTAAAACCCAGAAGAACAGAAACCTTACTCACCTTTTTAAAATTATTTTTCAACCTAAGGTAGATCCAGTATAAACACACACACACACACACACACACACGTACACACACACACACACACACACGTACACACACACACACACACACAGATACAGAAAGAGGACAGAGCTACAAAGACCCATAGTCTTCCTAGAAGACTATGTTATGTATCCTGACCTGGGAAGAAGGTTACTGCCCGGTTCTGATTGGGCTTCGTAACTACCTAGAACCTTCTATTTGATACATGTAGGATATATGATGTCGCCGGAACATAATTTGATCTGACGAACCCCATTTTCTAGGTACCTGGAGAGACAAACTCAACATAACATAATTGTGTTGTGTGCAGTTCATTGACTTGCTCTGTGACCCACAGGCAGTGGGGAAGAGGCTGCAGACCTCTGCCGCCCTCCCCGCCTCCAGAGGCCTTGAGCCACAGGCCAGCCCATCTTCCAGCACCAACCCTCTTCTGTGAAAGCCAGAAAGGAACTATTGTGGGATTTGTGGGCCACATAGTCCCTCTTGAAACTCCACGCTGGCTTCAGGAGGAGACCAAGAACACATAGTCACACAGTGACTTCCCTGTGGTACTCGAGGAAGCTTGCAGCTGTGATGGGAGTGTTGTGATAGTATAGTACTCATTTCATTGACTTCTAGTTTCTGGTTTTGGGTGGTATGTTTGGGCTTTGCGGCTTTAACTAATCATTCTGACATGTCATAGTCTTGGCTGAAATTTGGTTCAGTTGCTTACTAGCTCCATAGCATTAGGTAAGGGTCTGCACCCCTTTTGCTTATGTCTCCCTTAATGCACTATGGGAAATGCAGTAAAACCGCCCATCTGAGAGGTTCTTGAGAAATCTAAAGGAGATAATCCAGGGAAGTGAGGCTTAGATCCCTCATGGTCGTTTTTTGTTTTGTGTGTGTGTGTGTGTAGACATGAACTCAGGTCTGGATACTGTCCCTAAGCTTTTGTGCTCAAGGCTGCACTCAACCACATGGGCCACAGATTCATTTCTGGCATGTTAATGGTTAATTGAAGATGAGAGTCTCATGGATTTTTCTGCCCATGTTGGCTTCGAGCTGCAATCCTCAGATCTCAGCCTCCTGAGTAGCTAGGATTACAGTAGGCATGAATCATCAGCACCCTGCTCTCTGCTAGTTATAATAAGAATGTTCCCACTCAGGCAGTGGTGGCTCATACCTATAATCCTAGCTACTCAGGAGGCTGAGATCTGAGGATCACAGTTCTTATTTACAGTAAACTACTCAGAAAAAAAAAGCTGGACGTGGCATTGTGGCTCAAGTGGTAACAATGTGAACCCTGAGCCCAAACCCCAGAGTTCAAGCTCCCAGGATTGGCAAAAAAAAAAAAAAAAAAGAATGTTCCTAGAGTGCAGCCATCTATGTATGGCAGTATAAAACCCTTGTGTCCAAGCAACCTTCAAGATTAGGAAAGGCCACAAATTCTTCTCACTTCCCTTTTCTGTCACTTTGTGGCTGAATCTTTTAAAAACAATTTTAAATTTTTAAATATGTGTGTGAGCCAGATGCTGGTGGCTCACACCTATAATCTTTTTTTCCACATATATTTTTATTGTAAAAATATTGTACAGAGGGGTTACAGTTACATGAGCAAGGTAATGAGTACATTTCCTATCAAGCATTGTTACCTCCTCCTTTGTTTTTTCCTTAACATCACCTCCTCAATCCCTCCATCTCCCCAAAATTGTAAAGTTCATTTTCAACATAGTGTCTTGTACATCTCATTGTTACAATGGGTCAACCTGTATCCTTATTAAGCATTTTGTTATATCCCTTCCCCTCCCAAAATTATAAAA